CAGAAAGCCTCATCTTTCTCCTGCGGAACAGCTGGTAGTTTCGAGCTGCTGCCCATGAGATTAGCAGCCAGATTCATAATATTTATTGTTATATGCCCAGCATAGTGACTGGCACATAGGAAGAACATATTACATTGAGAAATCAATGGAAGAACAAATGCCAACTCGCTCCATACATTCAGATTTTCAGTCATATTTGTTGTGTGCACAGTAACCTTTGATGACATTACTCCCTTGAGGTCAAAACTCCATATCCCTTTCTGCCTACTAAAAGCACACACAACTTAAATGCCAAATCCTCCAGATCTCCTCAGACAACATATTCTCTTCTTTGAATTTTCACAGTACTTTATTTATAGCTCCATCTACTGTTATTTCATGATCTAGTATTATAACTATATCACTTATCTCCCTATCGACTTTTCATGGTCAAACTCTATCTATATCCATTTAATATTTCTTTCTCCATTCCCACCCTACAACATCCATCCAAGTGACTTGCATGTTTCTGTGCCCAGAAAGAAAAGGCTTTCCACTTTTCCCTCATTTTATTGCCATTTCAGCAGCTACATTATGGCCTTGAGATCGGAGATTTATGACTATGATATGCTTTTATGAGTTCTATGCAGTGGGCATAATTATAAGAATTATGATGATTTGAGAGTCATTTTACAAAAGAATGGAGTGAAGAACATTTGTGATGTGACATGTACTATAATCACCATGTAAACTAGGTCCGATAAAGTTTCATCAATTTCTTAGAGGTATGCACATCTTGTATATCCAGGACATCTAATGTGCTTCCTCTTTTAGATACAAAATAATAATAGTAAAATAAGAACTTAGGGTTGTTGTTGTTGTTGTTATGTGCCGTGGAGTCGATTCCCACTCATAATGACACTGTATAGGGTTTCCGAGGCTGTAAATCTTTACTGGAGCAGAAAGCCTCATCTTTCTCCCATGGATTGGCTGGTAGTTTCAGTATGGGACAAATATCAAGGAGTTTATAGTCAAAGGATTTGGATTTAAGCCTTGGCTTCAATACAGTCTTCATAGGCCTATGTTATCTGCACAATTTACTTCTGTCATTCTGAATTTCTATAAATAGGTACAGTAATACACACTGTACAGTAATGAATTAATGAATTAACACATAACTATTATAATGAGCTAAAAAGAGCTAAAGAGCTCATAGAAAGTTTCAAACAGTAGCTCAAGAAGATATAGTCATATAGCGAAATGTACAAAGACCTGGAGTTAGAAAACCAAAAGGGAAGAATATGCTCAGTATTTTTCAAGGAATTTTTAAATTTCATTTTTTATTTCTTCTATTACCCAGTAGATTTTCCATGTACTTGATTTTTTTCCCCCTTGATCTTCCTATTATTGGTTTCTAATTGGGTTAATGCGCTGGAAAGTCATTTTGAACTGCAAGGTCTATGGTTCAAGCTCACCAGGCACTCCTCAGAAACCCTGTGCAGGGTCGTTATGGGTTGGAACTGACTTGACAGCACTTAATAATAACAACAACAATTTTATAGCATTGTGATCTGAAAAGATGTACTGTAATTTTTCACTGTTTTTCAATTTATAAAGGTTTGCTTTGTGGTCAAACATAGGATCTGTTCTGGAGAATGTTCCATGTAAACTTGAATGGAGTCTGTCTTGTGCTGTTTTTGACTGCTCTGTATAAGTCTGTGAGATCAAGTTGGTTGATTCTGTTGTTTCATTCATTTGTGACTTTGTTGTTGACTTTCAGTCTAGTCTGTCCATCATAGAAAGTGGTTTATTAAAATCCCCAACTATTACTGTAGAGTTGTCTATTTCTTTCTTTAATTTTATCAGAGTTTGATTTATGTATTTTGAGGCTCTTTCATTGGGAGTGTAGATACTTATTAAGGTTATGTCCTCTTGTTCAGTTGACCCTGTAATCATGAGATAATGCTCTCCTTTGTTTCTTATTCTGGTTTTTGCCTTAAAGTCTGTTTTATCAGAAATTAATATTATCACTCTTGCTCAATTTTGGTTGCCACTCACCTGATTTATTTTTTCCATTCTTTGATTTTAATCTATTTTTGTCTTTGTTTATAAAGTATGTCATCATATTGAAGGATCCTGTTTTCTTATCCATTCGGCTACCTCTGTCTTTTGACATTTAGTCCATTGATGTTAGTAATATCAGTTCTGACTCATAGTGACCGATTATAGGGTTTCCAAGGAGCCACCAAATTTGAACCACCAACCTTACAATTCAAACCAACCTCGTGGTCCAGTGCATTATCCTACAGCACCACACCAGGGCTGCATAATTATCGATAGGTATCAGTGAATTGCTGTCATTTTGCTGAGTGGTTCGTTTATTTGTTTGTTTTCCAGGTGCTGCTGGTTTCTTTGTTCCACATAATTTTCTGTGCTGAATTCATTTTGTGTGTTTTCTTGTCATTTTCATCATTGCTGTTGTTTTAATGTTTACTAAATCTTTTTTTTTTTTTTTCTTGTTTTGATGTGAATGTATATTAATTTTCTTTGTGGTTACCCTGAATTTATTAATTTCTTCTCTAGTTTATAGCAGTCTGTTTCATCTTAAAATCTACTTTATTATCTTGTCATTTGTAAGTTCTGTAACTACATTTTCCCCTCATTTTTCTTTGTCATTTTCTTCATTATAAGTTGATATCTCTGGTTTCTTCATTTTAGTATTATGTTGTTGTTGTTGTTGTTAAGTGCTGTCGAGTTGGTCCCAATTCATAGCGACCCTGTAGAGGATTTCCAAGCAGTGACTGGTGAGTTTGAACTGCTGAACTTAAAGTTCAATCGGACCATGAGGTCGAGTGCTTATCCTATGGTGCCCCACCAGTATTATAGGTCAGTTTAACTTTGGATACTTCTGTATCCAGAGTGAGTTCTGGTGGTGCATATCTGTCAGTCTCAGGTTGTTGTCTGCTGTTCATTGTTGGTTCTTAGTCCAAAAAACTCCCATTAGCATTTTTCATAAAGTTGGTCTGGTTATTACAACTTCCTTTAATTTTGGTTTATCTTGAGATATTCTAATTTCATCATCATATTTGAGGATGTTTTGCTGGGTATTCGATTACTGGTTGGTAATTTTTTTTCTTTCAGAGTTTTGTATATGTCTTTCCATTACTTTCTCATATACATGGTTGCTGCTGTAACTTTTCATTTTTTCCTGAACTGCTCTCAGAATCCTTTCTTTGTCTTTGGTTTTGGAACGGAAATTGTCTGTTGCTTCCAAGATGTTTTCATGTCATTTGTATTTGTATTTAATTGATGATTGAATGTTGGTGTGTTCCTAGACACCCACCATCTTCCTCCTGGTTGGTGTTATTAGAGAATGGAAGTGTGCACACCATTTTCTGCTTGCTGTTTGTACAGCTCAGTTTAGGATGGGTTTGGCAGATATTGGTTGTTGTCATTGATCTGGCATATTTGTTGTTGTTGTTAAGTTCCATTGAGTTGGTTGTGACTCATAGCAACCCTGTATAGGGTTTCCAAGGAGCGGCTGGTGAGTTTGAACCACCAACCTTGTGGTTCAAACTGACCTTGTAGTCCAGTGCTTTATTCCATAGTGCCACACCAGGACTCCCATCAAGTGTCTAGCAGTTGGTATTGGCTCTTGCCCAGTAGCTGGACTGCAGAGGGTATCATCTGTGTCTGTTTTATATCTTTTTCCATGTATTTTTGGAGTGGAAATATATGTAGCTTTTAAGGAGTCATTGCACTTGGACATTGGCTACCCAAAATGGGGGGTGGGGGGCTACAAAGGCAAGAAGTGACTGGCTTACAAGCTTTCAAGAGGGAACCTAGATCCAGAGGGCCTGGAGGAACGTAGAATCTCCAGTGAGTAGTATCCAATCTGTCTGGGTGGGGCTGATGCAATGAAATGCAGACGGTTCTCTTGTGATACAATAGTGAATAATTGTTATCAGGACTGATTGTGAGGGTCAGAAATGTAAAGGTAGACGTTTTATAGCAAGGAGGGGAGTGATTAACTTTTCAGTCTAGGAGCGGAGGTCCCTAGGACCATCAAGGGAGAAGAGCAGAGAGCGGGACCCTACCCAGAGAAGCAGTGATGTCTGAAATGGAGCCAGAGATGATGACGTGGAGCGATGGAGCAGCTGGAGACTTTAGATCCAGAGAGGGAGAGCCACTGTGTGCTGAAGACCTGGGGGGCACGGGGGAAGGATTGCATGGAGGGGATTGTAATCATGGCAATGAGACAATATACGATAGAATGAAACTAATGTTCTCCCATGTAAACTATCACATAATTCACAATAAAACATTTAAGAAAAAAAAAAAAGAAGTCATTTGCAGCAGATTTGCCCAAGGTTGCTTGATTTCTTAACTGCTGCTTCCGTGGATGTTGATTATGGATCCAAGTAAAATGAAATCTTTAAAAACTCCAATCTTTTCTTCATTTATCATGATGTTGCTTATTGGTCAAGTTGTGAGGATTTTGTTTCTTTTATGTTGAGGTTTAATCCATATTGAAGGCTACAGTGTTTGAGCTTATTCAGAAAGCAAGATATGTCATCTGCAAATCACAGATTGTTAATGAGTCTTTTTCCAATCCTGATGCCGCTTTCTTCCTCATGCAGTTCAGCTTCTCAGATTATTTGCTCAGCAACAGTCTGAGTAACTATAGTGAAAGGATACAACCCTTTTCTGGTTTGAAACCATGCAGTATCCCCTGCTCGGTTTGAACAACTGACACTTGTAAGTATTGGTTCCACATGAGCAAAAGAAACTGTTTTAGAATTCTCATTCTTTACCATATTATATATAGCTTGTTAATATCCATACTGCCAAATGGTTTTATATAGTCAGTAAAACACAGATAAGCATCTAAATTGCAAAATATTATGCCTTAAAATATAATCAGTGAATCTCTACGCTTCATCGGTATTTCCTTTATTTAATTACTTATTGTTTAATTATTTCCTTCTTGTTAAATTTAACATGTCATTTTTGTTTTACAGAAACCAAAACCAAAAGACTGGCATCCTCCTGGAGGTTTTATTCTGGGATTATGGGCGCTCATTATCATGGTTTTCTTCAAAACATATGGAATCAAGCATATGAAGTTCATTTTCTAGACTCAGTGATTTATGAAAAAGACTGTTCAAAAGATTTGATAAAACTCTGTGTCATTATGTGTGTTTTTATGTATTGCCCTTGTGTGGATTGGCAAAAAGTATAAGGAAACTATAAATTTGGATAGACTGTTGATTTTGTAACTTTAAAATCAAATTGACATTTGATTGCTTAATGACACTGAATATGTTTCAATTTTCTGGTTTTTGTTTGTGTGGAGAGGGATATATTCGAATATAGTGGAATATTCTTTTTTAAAAGAACCTCCTTTTATTTGTCCCCTTTTCATTGAGAAGGAAAATATGTGAAGTTATTTAAATTGTCTCTAGTTGAAGTAACTTCAGATAATATTTTCATGTACATCCTCTCATTTTTTTCCCTATGCATTTATTTTTTTCACAAAATAGAGATCTTACAGAATATGTTCATTTGAAACTTCTCTTCTCATTTTACAATGAAACCTTTTCCCTTCTTTAGATAATCTTCAAGAACCCTTTGTTAACTGCTTCAGACATTATACGAGTGTACATTAGTTCATTAAGCACTCTCCTATTGTTAGACCACTTGTTCCAGTACTTTCCTTTGGTTCATTAATTAAGGTGTACCCTCTAAGGTCAGTGTTTCAAACCCGTCAGCCGCTCGTTGGAAACTCTCTACTGCTATGGGTGGAAACTGACTCGACGGCACGTAACAACACAATTTGACTGTCTATCACTCATTAAATTCTGCACTTTTAATTATAAGTAAACGTGTCAATTTTATTTCTTTATTTTTTTAATCTATGGTGCTTACAGTCTCCAGGAGCTTTTTTGCTGTCAGTTTATATGGAAATTTTAAGGCACTTTGGAATTTGAAATATTGACTGCCCAACGAAAGCAAACTCTTGTTATTTTTCATTTTTAAGCATAATTCTTTAAAATTATTTACCTCTTTAGTTTCTTTCTAGCTTGATCTGTACTTTTCCTAACAACAATCCTATAGCATAGCTAACCTGTAAGGGAAGTTGATCTTTGTAGCCCTGCCGTCATATCTGACTGATGAAGCACCTAAGGCAGTCTTACCTTTGCATCTTTCTGATAGCCAGAAATAATACTACTGAGATTGTGCTTTGTGATCTACCCAAGACATGGTGTTTTCAAAACTGTGCTCTGTTGTTGTTGTTGTTAAATGCCATGTAGTTGATTCCAACTCAGTAGTGACCCTGTATATGGTTTCTAAGGAGCAGCTGGTGAGTGTGAACCACCAGACTTGTGGTTAGCAGTCCAAGGCTTATCCTGTAGTACCACACCACTCCTAAAATTTACATATGAGGGGGCAAAAACCTGAAAATTCAGTGTTAATATCCGAGGGGATGCATATATTTTTTAATACAGGAACTTTTGTGCTAATCTTTATTCATTGCAAACATTCTGTTTTGTAACTACTAATACCATTGAGATGTCATCTCTTCTTCCACAATAACTAAAACAAAGTGATACTATTACCCAATTCAGACTCAAAATGGCCATTTACAGGGTTCCGGAAACTTTCTAGAATGGCTGGTGGGTTTGAACTGTGGTTAGCAGTCCAGTGCTTACCTTACAGCTCCACCAGGATTCCTTTTCTTCCCCAATAAAAGCCACCTAAATTAATACTTCTTAGGATTTGTTTTTCTTTTAGAATCTTAATTACATACAAAATAGTCATACTTTCCCAGGTAGCAGATTAACTGTGCTGTCTTTTAAAATTAAACAAATAATATTGAGGCCTTTGCTAGCTCTGAGTCTTTATTATGATTGACATTTATATGATTGACATTTATACTATATGAAAGAAAGGAGCCTTGGTAACACACATTGGGCTGCTAACCACAAAGTCAGCAGTTTGAATCCACTAACTGCACCATGGGAGAGAGATGAGACTTTCTGCTCCTGTAAAGATTTACAGCCTTGGAAACCCTGTACAGGGTCGTTGTGAGTCAAAACTGACTTAACAGCACACAGCCACCACAGCCACTATATAATTGAAGAAGAAAACTTTTTTTAATTATATGGGAAAACATCATTTTGTTACTAGAAATGGGAGAAAAAAAAGAAACTCTTAATTAGAATAGCCTGATCATTGTGCTGCTAAGAAACAAAAGTGTTTAACATAACACCCTCCAAATACATAATAAAGTTATGGGATGGAAAAAATATGGGTGGTAAAAGAAGTAAGATTATTCTTGAGTCAAAATAATTGAGTTTGAATGTAATGAAAGCTATCCTGGTAGTAAAAAATGACTCGTTGGGAGCAACAGCAATCCTAATGGTAAAGACTTCTGTAAAGTAGCAGGCTTCCTCACTAGAGGTTGTAGAAGGTGCCCTTCTTACTTAAAGTGAAACTGGAAGACGTAATACTGAATGTATTATGCAGGATTAATTTTAACCAAGCAGAGTTTCAAAGGACAGTTATTTCTCTCTTCCGTTACTGAATTTTCAGAATATAATTAAAGTCAAAAGCTTAAACTATGTTAAATGTTTAACTTGTAACCATAATCTTTTAATGTAAAGTATTTTCTACTTGTGTCAAGTAGGTATATGTAAAAGCATTTAACTATAATTAAGTGGTCCAGCCTTTAAATGATAACATAAAAGCACATCTTTAATGAATCCATCTGAGACTTAAAGAGCTGAACAACAGAGAAGTATTTTTGCCTTCTCATAGTGTTGTCAAGAGAGGAGATAATGTTATGACTAAACACTTGAAAATTGTAAATATACGGTGGCATTATTGTTGTTATTTCTCCTTAGGAAGATACCGTAGGGGAAGTTAATAATCACAATGTCCCTCTTGATGTTGTACTTATTTACCTTTCTAAGTCGTTCAGTGTGATTTTTATTCTCTTTGATATTTTTTGTCTCTTCGCCTACTGTGTCCTTCAGAGAGAAAAGGAATATCCATTTATCTAATGGATCCCAGCAGACATGCCCTGGCATTTGGGGCATGGCTAGGGGATCATAATGCCATTTTGCAAAGGGAGCCTGACTGACTGAGAAAAAAACCCAAATTATAAGATTTTAAAATTAGGAAAGACATTCATTCACAGTTTATGAAAGGGAAATGTAGTTTGGATACTAACCTGATTAAATTGGGTCAATTAAAATTAAAATTAAATATAAGAAACAATGTATGCATTTATGGTTTCCATTTTTACATATCCTCAGCTAGTTGAAAATGATGATTCTCACAACAAGCATAACTCAGCTTGTTCCTGCTTACAGAGTATTTTCTACTGTGGGAATGTTAATGTGGGTATGTCGTATAGCAGAGTTACAGGTTACTGTGGGAATCATAATTTGAAATTTTGACTTGTGTGTTTCTAGAATCTCTATAACAAATGTTGCATTAAAAGAAGTTTTATTCAGTTGATTGTACCAAAATTAAACCTATCTGTCAAAAATACTGTTTAACTTGTGAAAGAAATACTCTTTAAACATACCACAAGGTAGTGCTATAAAGTAATGAGATTACTAGTCATTGATGCTTTACGGAATCAACCTCTTAACTTCCTTGTTACATCTCAGACCTGTGGGCATTTTCAACAAAGAAAGTCGTCTCCAATATTTCTGTACTGTTGCTGTCTGCTCTACATGTACCAGTGTGAAAAGTTAACTACCTGCCGCTTAAAGATGAAAGGCTTTCAGTTCATGGACAATACACCTTGGTGGTGGCAAGCTTTTGTGTGTGTGTGTGTGTGTGTGTGTGTTTAATGCTAATGATTTATTGGTTTGGCAGTGTGCTATGAACTAATTGGTTTCATTAACTGTATACACCCCTTGAGTAATAGAATTGTTACAGATGGAAGTATAACTGAGAGACTGGCTAATAAAAAAGCATTAACTTCAAACATGAAAAGGTGTTCATGGTCGTTCTTGTTTCACCTGGGTTGCTTGCGGCCTCTGAGACTTTAGAGGACTTTAAGATTTGCCCAGTGTATATATAGCCACAGGGTCTGCCAGGGTGGGGGCTGCCTCGTGATCTAACACATGGTCAGTTTTTCCTCTTTTACAATGAAAGTGGTCTTTAAACTACCATGAAAGTGCTAGCTCTGTGCTAGAGTGTCAGGGTCAGCTGGCATGTGCAGTGGAGGTGTCTTCAGTGCCATTAAATAAGATCTTAAATGTGAAGCACATCAAACAATGTGTGGCACATAGGTAAAGTTCAACATTTTATTCTTTGTTAGGCAGGACTAAGCATATATCTCCTTTTTAACATCCGTTCAGACCCAAGAGCTGGCTGGTCACCCTTGTACCCTTGGTACTCTTAACATGGATCTGTTTGCAGTCTTACACAAACCCTTCTGTTTGCAGCAGACATCATTTTGTGGTAAAAGTTTCTTTTTTACTTTCAAATGTTCAACAATTCAATACAATCTCATCTTTTTTTTTTAAAGCTTTTATTGTGAATTGAGTGATAGTTTACATGGCATAACATCAGTTTAGCACTCAATCAATTGTATTGTGTTTCATTGCAATTATTACAATCCCCTTTATGCGTCATTGAGTGGACAATGCCTCTATTCCTTTTTTTTTATATGTGTCTATTCCTTTTTTTTTAATGTACACAAAATCACACAGGAATATATAATCATTTAAACAACCAAAGGGCATATTTTACAAGCCTGCCTCTTGGCTGCCAGCACACAGCCTTTCTCTTTCCATGATTCTAGAGTCCTCAGTTGCTCTCTCTCTCCATGCCATCATTTCTGCCTCCTCTCTGGTCTCTCTGCTTCTCTGGTTAGGATACCACGTTCCACTCATGCTCTCCCATTTGATGGTCTACGGTCCTCTGTTCCTGGAATATAAGATAATTACCCCCCCCCCCTCCCCTTTTTTTTTTTTTTTTTTTTACAAAACTTCTACCTTTACACTTGTGACAATATCAATTAGTCATGATAACAATTAATATTTAATCAAAAGAATCCTATGCCTATTTCCTTTCACCAGACCCAAATAGAAAAGATGAAAATTATTCAGTGGGGATTCTACCTTTCCCTCCTTGTTCTGAAACTAAACTCCCTCTTGAAAACTTGTAAGCCAGCCATGTTGTGCCCTTATTTGTTGTTGTTGTTAGGTGCCATTGAGTCGGTACCAACTCATAGCGATCCTATGCATAACA